GCCACATCCTGGGGATCATGTATTTTTTCAGGTAAACCTTTTATATAAAAAGTCGTTAAGAACAGTGACAGAAAACTAATGACGGTTTATGATAAATATTTATTTAATAAATACATGGTGCTTGCCTGCAAGCAGACTTTGTACTTATTCAAATGTTTTCGGGGGATCATGACAGCCATCTTATGTACAGTTTTCATTTTCTGTGGAGATCAGAAGCGCGATGCCTGACGACGCCCTCCTCCTGCGCCTCCCACTTCTTCACCGCCTCCGCCAGGGCGTCCAGGACCTTCGTCACGGGCTCCAGGGAACGGCTGTGTCGGAAGATTGAGAAGTTTAAGCACAAAGTCCAAAGAAACATCGCTTTACTGTTAACAGATATGTAGTAATACCCCCCCAAAAAAAAAAAAAAAAAAAAAAATCTGAATAATGATCATTCATCATTCTATATACATGATAGATATCAAACGAAGGTACTTACCTCCCACGGACACCTCCGCTGAGGCCCCACTGGTCGGCTCTATCCCAGGCGTGGGCGGCGGAGGACACCAGACTCCTGCCGAAGGGGGCGTAGCTCTTGGTGAACAGGTCCAACAGGAACACGGCGGCCACAGCCACCACCGCCACCAGACCCACCGTCTGGATGTCCAGCTTGTTGACCAGTCCCTTCAGGTCGAACGAATTGACCAAGCTCCTCAGGTCGACGTTGCGAAGACCCTGCTGCAGCTGGTAGACGAAGGGGGCGACGGCGTGGGCGGCCATGTTGCTGCGTCAGGACGATATGATGGGCGAGCTTAGTGCGAGAGAGAGTATGGAGGCAGACTGATGCGGGAACCGAGTGTGTCGGTCTTATATGTGACTCGAGAAGGAAAGGTTCTCGGAAGGTGTTGTGGGGAAGCGAAGCGGATGTCGCGGAGTAAAAACCTGTTTCATTCATACTTTATCTATCCTGTGTTTATTTACCTTGCTATATATCTATGTTTTAGTGTATGGCTATAATATACATAACTTTACTTTCACCTAAAGTCACACTCAACAAATTTAAACTATAAAAAATTGCCAACATACTGAAAAATGAATCTAAAAGTATGTTCTGAGATACTAATAGTCGAATACAAGGATATGGAATGAGTCTTGTGAGCAGAATCACATGCAGCAATTCACAGATGCTGGAAATGCTGAGGTTATTTACTTCAGCTTAAGATTTAGCTCAGGGTTTTACCTTTAGATTTCACTTGCTGATGCCTTCCCTTAGATATGTAATCTCTCCTGGAATTGCAAAAAGTGCAAGAACGCAAAGAAATAATTTCATGGTACTGGAGATGGTATAAGAGCAATTGTTATATGATTAGCATAATTCTACTGAGCAAATCAACTGCTTCTCTTGCGTGTGTATCTTCTCAACTTTTCTCACAATTAACTTTGTTCTCCCACAACGGTTAGACGCTCTACAAAGCCATCATTCAACAGGAAAGTAAAAAAAAAAAAAAAAAAAAAAAAAAAAAAAAAAAAAATGATGTTAATAACAGTAATAGTAATAATATGCCTCATATCTGTTTTAATTTAGTGGTCGTACTATACAACGCGTTATTTGACAGTGTCAGTCTCTGTTATTGATATTATGATTAATATTGTTTTTGCTCTTGCTGTTATTATGATCACTATCACTATTATTAATATGATTAACACTTTTTTGCTGTTGTTATGATTAACATGATTATTATTGCTGCTATCATTCTAATTGTTCGTATCATTATCATTAATGTCATTGATATCACTATCATCATTATTATCATAATTATTACCATTATCATTATCATTTTCACTATTATTATTATCATTCTTTTCATCATCATTTTTGTTGTTATTATGACTATTATCATTACTGTTACTATTATTATTGTTATTATTATCATTATTCTTGTTATTGCTATTATCTTATTACTGCTATCACTGTTGGTCTTGTTATTGTTATTGTTATTATTATTAATATCATCATCGTTATTGTTATCATTATTATAGTTATTACCATTGTCATTATCATCATGATCAATATCATTATCATCATTATTATTGTTTTTGCTATTATTATTATTATCATTATCATCATTGTTATCATTACTATTATCATCATTATGATTTTCATTATCTTTATCATTATCGTCATTATTATTCTTAATTCTATTACTGTCATCATTATCATTATCATATGTACTATAATTATTGTTATCGATTTTAATATAATTGATGTTATCCTCACCATTGTTATTGATATTATAATTACTGTTACTATTATTGCTATTATGATAATTATTATCATCATCATTATTATTACAATTGTTATTATTATCATTATTATTACAATTATTATCATCAGTATTATTACAATTATTATCATCAGTATTATTACAATTATTATCATCATTATTATTACAATTATTATCATCATTATCATTACAATTATTATCATCATTATCATTATTACTACTACTACTGCTACTATAACCACTACTATTATTATCATTACTAATATCATTATCATTATTTTTGTCATTGTTATTATCATTATGTCATCATTATCATTACTATGGTCATTATTATTATTACCATAATCCTTATCATCATTATCATCGTTATCATTATTATCAGCATTATTATTGTTATCACTATCATTATCACCGTCATTCGTAGTAGTAGTGCTATTAGTATTATCATGATAACAATCACTGTTGTTATTATTATTGTCATTATCATTTTTATTATTATTATTGTTAGTGTTTTTGTTATTGCCATTGATATTCATATTACTATCATTATCATTATCATAATTGTTGTTATTTTTATTATTGTGTGTGTTTATATATATGTATATATGTGTGTAAAAGATATGCTTATAGATAGATAGATAGATAGATAGATAGATATAATATGTTATATGTGAATATATATATATATATATATAATATATTATATATATATGTAAACACACTGACTCACACACACACACACACACACACACACACACACACACAAACATACACACACATAATATATACATACATATATATATATATATATATTAATATATATATATATATATATATATATATAGACATATATGTCAATGTATTTGTGCGTGTGTGAAAATATGAACACATACATATTCTATACATGTACGAGAATATTTACGTGTGCACACACAGAATGCACACACGCACATGAATATAGTCTGGCCTCTGAATAGGTTTATGCTGCATTCCTCTGGCGTTCAGCATTTCATTACAATCGGTGTTTATTCCCGCCCTTGATACCAAGTGATCTATCGTAGCAGACGCAGTAACCCGTTTCGTTATATCCTGGTTCTGGCTCCTGTTTCGATCTCTACCAGTGAGAGGAACTGTTCCTCGGCTCGGCCTATGCCAGCACAGGATGCCCTAGTGCGCTTGAGTGAGGGTTTGGTCGCCGAGGAACCCCTGTTCGCTACCCTCTTATGCCTCAGTTATTTTATTTTACCTTCATTGTCATCGTTATTATCATCAATCTCATTCTTGTAGTTGTTAATATGGTACAGTTTACCGCGGGTCAATACACTTAGTTTTCTAAGATTTCGATTTTCAAGTTCACGGGCTTGACGTCACCGCAGATGACGTCATCAGCTATGGTAGTTCTAGATCCGTTTTCTTTAAGATATCTTGGAAAAGGTTCTTTGTTGTATGGACAGTTTATCTCTGTAGCTGATTTATGAATTTGTCGTAGCAAACATAGATTTTTAAAAATATTATCAAATGGTGTTGGTAGAGGTGTTATGCAGTACAGGGAACTGTTCAAGTCTTTGTTGTCCTTTTACCAAATTATCTACACGAAATTATCAAATGATCGCACATAGATGTCTCCGTCTATGTACCCCCACCCCACCCCTTCCGCTTGACACTCAAACCGAACTACTTTTACAAACATCTAAAACTGATGGGCCTCCTCCCTTAACCCCCTCCCTTAGCCCCCTCCTCCTTTAACCCCTCCTCCCTCGCCTCCTCCCTTATCCAAATTTTGTTTCTTGTTTCTTTTCTCTAGAGATCGATTTAATTTCGCCATCACAGGTTTAACTTTTAGAGTAGCGTACTGGTTTTTGGTTGTTTTACTAATCAAGAATACAGAATCTAGAAAAAAAAATACAAACACTGTAACATGATATTTGAAGGACACTTCCTTGAGACAATCACATCCGGCTGACCTGGAAAGAGTCAATGCCCCACAAATTCGTTTTCTTACCTTCTTCTCAAAGTGTTTTGTTAGTCCATCATTCATGAGCTATATATATAAAGCTGGTATTATGTTCTTATTTATTCAAATAATAATAAATGACAAAAAATATATATTAGAAGAAAATATATAACAGAAGAAAAATACGCCAGTTCTCCCTAAGCTGTGACGTCACCAGAAATACTTTTACTTTCGGCGGGAAGTCCGTGAAGCCGCACCTTCTGGCCACGGTTCTTGGGCTATATTATCGTGGCTGAAATTCAAGACTTATTTCCCTTAGGGATGAGATAATATGTCATGAATTACCAGAGCGAAAAGGGGAGGGGAAAGAAAAGAAACATGGGAGAAAAGAGTGAAGGGGGATATAGAGAAAACGAAATATTGGGAAATAAGTTGGAAGGAGGAGAGGAGAAAGCGTGGGGAGGAGAGGGAGTAAGAGAGAGAAGAAAAAGAGAAAGGAGAGTAGAGGGGGAGGGAGGATGAATGAGAAGAAAAAGGAGAAAGCAGACGGGAAGATAAAGAAAGAGGAGGGGGGGATGGATGAGAAAGGAACAGAATGGAGGGATAAAAAGACGTGACGGAGGAGTAGAGATGGAGAGTTGGCGAGAAAAAGATAAGAACAAGATAAAAGTGGATAGGAAGAAGAGAAAAAGGTAAAAGAGCGTATATGTACAACGTTTCGGAAAATGAGAAAACAAAAAAGAAAATAGATGCTGTATTGCATAACGAAGAGGCGAACAGTTATGTTCACCGGCAATGTCCTGTCCCAGTTTTTCCTGGCAACCGCCTTCTCTGCCGCTCCGTAAGAAACAGGCATTCCACTTCACTCATTTCTTTTACCTGTCATGCGTGCGCTTCATATCATATAAAGATATTTATTTCCTTATCAATAAGAAAAACGTTTATAAACCGCCGTCGCAATTTGAAATTAATATTTGACTGAGGTATTCTGCGCCGGTTCCCCACCTTCACCTTGACATGGTCTAACCGGGGAAATACCTGGGTCGCTTTTGCTTTCACGTAGAAGACCGAAAAGGACGGTAGATGTTGAATGGTAAGAAGGTCTTGCTTTTCATATTTACTTGGATACTTCGTTAGTAATATCTTTCGTCTTATATCATTGCATATTTCTGCATTATTCTTTAACAGTAATCATCAAAGTCGTATAAGTTTTATCTATAATATCTGTGCCACTAATCATAGAAAGTAACGTTTGCTATTGGAAAATTTCAGGTAATGTACTATAAGTTTTCTGTATTTGCTGATAGATATCCTATCTAGTTGAAAGGGAGAAAGAGAGAGAGAGAGAGAGAGAGAGAGAGAGAGGACTGGTAAGAAGGGATGTCAAAAGCGTAATGCATACTTGTGTGCGTGCGTACAAAAAAAAATCATGCATGCATACACACACACATACATATATATATGTATATATCATATCGTCGTCGTCGTTCTTGTCGTATCCGACGCGGAGTTGTGGCGAACCATGAGTTAGTTACTTCCATTCTGCGACTTTCTATTCACCGCTTGCATTTTTGCATTTGGAACAGAAATCGTGCAGATATATTTTCCGTTGACCACCACGAGCTTTCTTACCTTTCATCTCTTTTCTGAACTTCTGCTAGTCTGAATGTTGTGTATGTGTGTGTGTGTGTGTGTATATATATATATATATATATATATATTATATATATATATATATATATATATATATATATATATATATATATAATATATATATATATATATATATATATATATATATAGACAGATAGATATATGGATAATGAGAAAATGTGCTAAATGTTTTACGTAACCTTGGGTATCAACATATGCCAAATTTAGATATCCTGCGTATATTATAAAGTCCATAAAAATGTCAAAAATCGTATCCACCTCTTATATCTATCAAGATCTTGAAATATCAGAAAGGTCGAATATATTTTGACAGTCCATCTCGAGCCTCCTCTTCACATGTTCTTCGACCTTGAGAAGATATTTAGTCAGAGACCCGGATGAGGGTTCCGCCAAAATCTTTCATTGTGTGGGGGTAATATAGGCGGACTCAGGCTGAGTCAGGCATCAGTTACTTCAACGAACCGTGAGATTCGGATCTATTGCTTTGTCATTCCTTCTCGTTCTGTGTATTTAAAAGTTAAAGTAAGTCAAACGTATATATTCTGCTCTTCTAAAACCATATTCTTCGAGAAATAATTCTCACTCATAGGTATTCAAATTATGTAATGTAATACATTGATGAATAATTCCTTCTTTTTCTTTCTCCAATGATATGCGCGATTATATAATTATTATCATTGCTGGGTTCCTATCAACAGAATCAATATCGATATTAATTCTTTATAAACACATCTAAGGTCAGACTTTACCTAATAATATCAGATTCGCCGCCATTACTTCAACCTTTCGGTACACTCTTCACCCTAACACGACTCTCCCAGCGCCGCCATGCCCGCCGCCGCCGCCGCCGCCGCCCCCCTCGGGACGCTCATGTACCAGGTGGACGAGACTCTGAGGACCTTCGGCTTCGACATCAAGAGCCTCGTGAAGTCCCTCGACCTCCAGACCTTCGGGTCCTGACGCTCCTCGTGGTCGGGGCGGTGTTCCCTTCGACTTCCTGAGCTACGGGTACGCCTCCTACACCGGGGACGCCGCCGGGCACACGTCCTACGGCAGGAGCCTGGTCACGACGGCGGCGAAGGTGTGGGACCAGCGCGACCAGCTGGGCCTCAATCCCTACGTCCGCGGCGGGTGAGGCTTCGGCACTGGCTTTTTTTTTCTTTTTGTTATCTCAAATAACAACATTCATTATGATATCATTTTTCAAAGATTTGGCATATAACATTCAATATGAAATCGTTTTTTCAAAGATATGGCAAATAACGTTCATTATGATAGCTTCTTTTATATATTTACAAGCAACGAATCTGGTAACAATGCATGCACAAACATGGAGTAGAAAAGGAAACAAAAATACTAAGGAACAATACCTCAGCTTTTCCCATACATTGTTTGTGATTGTTGGTTTGCGCTTTGCGAGTGTCCTTGTCAATTTGATCTGTGTCAAGGGCCTTATTTTTATTGTTTACTGCTGTCCTGTTAATGGCAGCTGAAAGTATTACTGTTGGTATTCTTCTCATCTGAATGTCTATGATCCATTCACTTCATTCGAATCAGCCAATTAAAGTTTTCTTTTTTAGATCTTTTACATCTTTCTGTTTCTCTCTCTCTCTCTCTCTCTCTCTCTCTCTCTCTCTCTCTCTCTCTCTCTCTCTCTCTCTCTCTCTCTCTCTCTCCTTCCCTCCCTCCCTCCTCCTCCCCCTCCCTCCCTCCTCCTTCCCTTTCTCCTCTCCCTCCTCTCCTCCCTCTATCTCTTCGTATCTTCGTCTCTCCCTCTCTCCGTCTATCTACCAATCTAATTAACTATCTATCTGTCTGTCTATACTCTCTATCACAAATTAGTCGATGTTTATAGCCATCTGAAGCGAGGAAACATGAAAACCTCATCCATTTACACATCAGACTAAACAAAAATCTTTCTCCTTTCAGCCGTGGATTGGATTCCATGACACAGATCCTGGACGATATCGCTGACGCCATCTTGAAGTATGAAGGACTGGAGGACAATGTCGTGGGACAATCTCGGCAGAGCAAAGTACTCCAGCAATAGGACAGCTGCAACACAAAAAAAAACTTGAGTTTACCCTTCAACGCGCACAATAGAAAACGGGAAATATTCTTCAGCTACAGTGACTGGAGATGCTTACAATTGGATTGTTTATAAATAATTCTTTGCAGGCCGAAGATAATGTCGTTATAGTTGCAATAAACTAATATTCTATTAAAGGTTATTTGTAATTAAACCTTTCGTCTTTTTTCGTCTTTCGGGACATCAATGGCAGTTCGTACCTGAGATAAACTCTAACGAAAATCAGGGAAGAGTTAGTACCCTGTGATAACAATTTTCTGAGATAATCTAAATAGCAGGTTTAAATATTTTCTTTCAAAATTGCGTCGGCCACCTCTTACCCTTATATTATCTTTCCATACCTTTTTATGCTTTTGTTAATCTTTTATCGTTATCAATTAGGCAGTAGGTAACTATCTGCTAATTCATGTTCAAGCAGTATTACCAGTCAGTGCTAACAACACTTGTTTCTTTTTCTCAAGACTTGAAAAAATAATTTAGAGCTTACATGCGCAAGGTAATGATGCAAAAAATTCCCATGTCTAGAAAACTGAATAAAGAGAGCTAGAAAATCCAAAACCAACACCAAGTCATAATAAAAGAGAAAGATAGAGAGCACGCGCGCATGTGTGTGTCTAATTTTTAATAATTTTACCTTATTTTATATAGTATGGAAAAATCTAAGGCATTTTTTCCTTTTCCTCTTCTTTTTTTAACGTTTTCTCTTCTCCATATCTGTGCATGCGTTGTACCAGCTTCGTTGATAGCGACTATATGATGAAAAAACATCATGATGAATGTTGTTTGCCATATCTTTAAAAGATGACTCTCCTGAAAAGCAACGTGTTGTAAATTGAAAGATGTTTTCCGAAGCTTTGGCTGCACAGCTCTTGAGTGGCGTCAGCGAGGACACCTGCCACCCAATGTGAACAATATGCAATATATATATATATATATATATATATATATATATATATATATATATATATTTATCTATTTATTTATATATGTACTTACATACCTATACACACACACATTTATATATATTCGTACATATATACATATATATACATATATACTAATAATCAATACCTCTCTCTGTCTATATACTTTTATATATCTATATATATCTATATATGTACACATAGATAAATAAACAAATGAATACAACCACACATACATATTTATACATGTATGTATAAATGTGTGTATAAAAACAAACTTACCTACCTGAGAGAGAGAGAGATAGAGAGAGAGAGAGAGAGAGAGAGAGAGAGAGAGAGAGAGAGATAGAGAGAGAGAGAAAGAGAGAGAGAGAGAGAGAGAGAGAGTGAGAGAAGAGAGGAGAGGAGGGAGGGAGGGGGGGGGAGTTAGGGAGGGAGGGAGGGAATTAGGAATGGAGGAAGGAAGGAAAGGAGGAAGGAGGGAAGGAAGGAAGGAAGGGAGGGAGGAAGGAAGAGAGAGAGAGAGAGAGAGAGAGAGAGAGAGAGAGAGAGAGAGAGAGAGAGAGAGAGAGAGAGAAGAGGGTCGAAGTAGGCTCCTTCTCTCTACCAAGGAACTTCTCAAATTTTGATGCGACTCCATCTCCTGTGCTGATTCTTTACTGGTCTTATTTTGGCTACAAGATGTCAAGAAATAGCTACAGTAAGAGATAAACAATTTTCCATTTCAAAATACACACCGAAAGAGTAAAAAAGCACAAGCTTCCATGAAGAAAAGAAAGAAAAAAATCCACCTTCCTCAAGTCATTACTCCTAACCGTTCTACTTTTCCTTTCTCCTCCCTTTCTTCAGGAAATACAAGTGACTTTCATTTTCCTGCTCGCCCGAAGCGTGTGTGGGGATGGCGCTGCAACAAGAGCAACGGGTTTCTCTAATTTCCGTTCGCCTGGATACTGCGGACGTTTCTGCTGACCCGGGGATGCTGACGGCGCATACTGACATCTTTTATCGACCTGACGCTTGGGAACATTGCGTTTATCTTCGTAAAAAAATGAAATTGAAGACTAACTCATCCGGTGCATATTGTTCACATTGGGTGGCAGGTGCGCACCCCTCGCTGACGCCACTCGAGGGCTGTGCTGCCAACGCTTGGAAAACATCTTTCAGTTTGCTACGTGTTGCTTTTCACATGTCAGGTTTAAAGATATGGCAAACAACATTCATCATATGTTTGTAATATAGTCCCAAGCAATGAAGCTGGTACAACGCATGCACAAATATGGAGAAGAGAAAAATTGTTAAAAAAAAAAAGAAAATGCAAAAGAAAAAATGCCCCAGCTTTTTCCATACTACATAAAATAAGGTAAAATTATTAAAGATTAGACACACACACACACGCTCTCTCTTTCATTATGACTTGGTGTTGGTATTGGATTTTCTAGCTCTCTTTATTCAGTTTTCTAGACATGGGAATTTTTTGCATCATTACCTTGCGCATGTAAGCTCTAAATTATTTTTTCAAATCTTGAGAAAAAGAAACAAGTGCTGTTAGCACTGACTGGTAATACTGCTTGAACATGAATTAGCAGATAGTTACCTACTGCCTAATTGATAACGATAAAAGATTAACAAAAGCATAAAAAGGTATGGAAAGATAATATAAGGGTAAGAAGTGGCCGACGCAATTTTGAAAGAAAATATTCAAACCTGCTATTAAATTATCTCAGAAAATTGTTAATATCCCGTTGAAATCACAGGGTACTAACTCTTCCCTGATTTTCGTTAGAGTTTATCTCAGGTAAGAACTGCTATCGATGTCCCCAAAGACGAAAAAAGACGAAAGGTTTCATTACAAATAACCTTAATAGAATATTAGTTTATTGCAACTATAACGACATTATCTTCGGCCTGCAAAGAATTATTTATAAACAATCCAATTGTAAGCATCTCCAGTCACTGTAGCTGAAGAATATTTCCCGTTTTCTATTGTGCGCGTTGAAGGGTAAACTCAAGTTTTTTTGTGTGTTGCAGCTGTCCTATTGCTGGAGTACTTTGCTCTGCCGAGATTGTCCCACGACATTGTCCTCCAGTCCTTCATACTTCAAGATGGCGTCAGCGATATCGTCCAGGATCTGTGTCATGGAATCCAATCCACGGCTGAAAGGAGAAAGATTTTTGTTTAGTCTGATGAGTGTAAATGGATGGCTATAAACATCGACCTAATTTGTGATAGAGAGTATAGACAGACAGAAAGATAGTTAATTAGATTGGTAGATAGACGGAGAGAGGGAGAGACGAAGATACGAAGAGAGGGAGGGAGACGGAAGGAGAGAGAGGGAGAGAGGGAGGGAGGGAGGGAGGGAGGGAGGGAGGGAGGGAGGGAGGGAGGAGGAAGGAAGGAGGAGAGAGAGAGAGAGAGAGAGAGAGAGAGAGAGAGAGAGAGAGAGAGAGAGAGAGAGAGAGAGAGAGAGAGAGAGAAACAGAAAGATGTAAAAGATCTAACAATAAAGAAAACTTTAATTGGCTGATTCGAATGAAGTGAATGGATCATAGACATTCATATGAGAAGAATGCCAACAGTAATACTTTCAGTTGCCATCAACAGGACAGCAGTAAACAATAAAAATAAGGCCCTTGACACAGATCAAATTGACAAGGACACTCGCAAAGCGCAAACCAACAATCACAAACAATGTATGGGAAAAGCTGAGGTATTGTTCCTTAGTATTTTTGTTTCCTTTTCTACTCCATGTTTGTGCATGCATTGTACCAGATTCGTTGCTTGTAAATATATAAAAGAAGCTATCATAATGAACGTTATTTGCCATATCTTTGAAAAAACGATTTCATATTGAATGTTATATGCCAAATCTTTGAAAAATGATATCATAATGAATGTTGTTATTTGAGATAACAAAAAGAAAAAAAAAAGCCAGTGCCGAAGGCCTCACCCGCCGCGGACGTAGGGATTGAGGCCCAGCTGGTCGCGCTGGTCCCACACCTTCGCCGCCGTCGTGACCAGGCTCCTGCCGTAGGACGTGTGCCCGGCGGCGTCCCCGGTGTAGGAGGCGTACCCGTAGCTCAGGAAGTCGAAGAGGAACACCGCCCCGACCACGAGGAGCGTCAGGAGCCCGAAGGTCTGGAGGTCGAGGGACTTCACGAGGCTCTTGATGTCGAAGCCGAAGGTCCTCAGAGTCTCGTCCACCTGGTACATGAGCGTCCCGAGGGGGGCGGCGGCGGCGGCGGCGGCGGGCATGGCGGCGCTGGAGAGAGGTCGTGTTAGGGTGAAGAGTGTACCGAAAGGGTTGAAGTAATGGCGGCGAATCTGATATTATTAGGTAAAGTCTGAACTTAGATGTGTTTATAAAGAATTAATATCGATATTGATTCTGTTGATAGGAACTCAGTAATGATAATAATTATAATAACGCATATCATTGAAGAAGAAAAAAAAAAGGAATTATTCATCAATGTATTACATTACATAATTTGAATACCTATGAGTGAAAATTATTTTCGAAGAATATGGTTTTAGAAGAGCAGAATATATACGTTTGACTTACCTTTAACTTTTAAATAAACAGAACGAGAAGGAATGACAAAGCAATAGATCCGAATCGCACGGTTCGTTGAAGGTAACTGATGCCTGACTCAGCCTGAGCCCGCCTTATATACCCCCACACAATGAAAGGATTTTGGCGGGAAACCCTCATCCGGGTCTCTGGACTAAATATCTTCTCAAGGTCGAAGAACATGGTGAAGAGGAGGCTCGAGATGGACTGTCAAAATATATTCGACCTTTCTGATATTTCAAGATCTTGATAGATATAAGAGGTGGATACGATTTTTTGACATTTTTATGGACTTTATAATATACGGATATTTAAATTTGGCATATGTTGATACCCCAAGGTTACATAAAATATTTTGCACATTTTCTCATTATCCATATATCTATCTGTCTATATATATATATATATATATATATATATATATATATATATATATATAATACATATATACATGCATACATATAAATATAGTTATATAGATAGATAGATAGATAGATAGATAGATACACACACACACACATACACACAAACACACACACACACACACACACACACACAACACAAACACACTCACACACACACACACACACACACACACAACATTTAGACGAACAGAATTGCAGAAAGGAGATGAAAGGAAAGAAA